TGTACAAGAAGGAGAGGTGTACGTGACTGAGCTAGGAAAAATAGATGGGACGTACAGGGAGATAGATGTCTGAGGCATGGGATAGAGAGGAAAGGACGGTAGCTGTACTGGGGCATAAGAGGTGGGTTGAAAAGGCGGGCGGGATATCGATAGGATAGACAGACTAGGAAAGATATTCTTAAGCCACCTTTGGCAAAGTAGGAAGGAACGATTGGCCATCGGTGATCGGTCCTGTGGGAACAATGCTCCGTCCTCTCGAGGACGCGTGGTCAATGGTCTAACCGCTAAGGCATGCAAAACACAATCGTAGGCCCCCCCTCCCCCCTTTCGTCCTGTTTTTTTCCTGTGTACATTCATGCACGCAGCTTTACGAGAATGGCGTCGCGGGGATCCACATCGTGGGGACCAACAACTTCACCTTCGATGCGACCATAGGCGAAGAGAGCACGGTTGGCGAAGGCAACGTCGGAAACCTGGATGGGCAGCAGCCGATCGACGTTATCATCGAGAGCTCGACCTTGGTGACCTTCAACGACCTGAGGGTACAATCATCCAATGGTATGTGCATATGTAGCTTACCCGTCGAGAAACAATGCTTGGTTCGCGCGGAACGCTGGGTCCGTTTACCAAGAGTTACCGTGCAAGATCGTATCTTCATCTGAGCGTTGTGCGTGGAAGGTTCTATTGTCCTTGTCGCGAGTGTTGTTACCCTCGAGACAATAGCGGTCGGCGACATCTCCGTAAATGTTTACCACGTGTTGCGGTGAGGTTCGTTTGGTTCTGAAAATGTCTTGGGAAAACACGCCTTGATTGGCCCAGGCTCCTCCACCCGGCGACCGCAACGACGGACAAATAATCAGTGTACATACAATTTGAGTACATCTGCTGTGTTTTCCCATCGCTGCCGCTCTGCACGGCTGCGTCTCGCCAAAAAAATCTGAGTTCGAGGTGACCGGCCAATTTAGGCTGCGCATCGCGTGCCTGAATTTCACTCCCCTCACACAAACACCATTCTTGTCGCCTGTCTTGTTTGCTGGTCGCTGTGGTCTCCAACCTTTGACAGATCCGATAATGATGGTCTCCGATAGCTCCACAGTGTCCTTCAACAACCTCGGACTAAGCCTCGTGGAGGCAGATGCTTGCGTGATCCAGGTATGTCCGGGCTGAAGCGTGGCTTCGTGCACAAGAATTTATGTCCCGCGATATGACAGGGCCGAACAACAATCGAATGAGCACATGAATGAGACGCAGTTGGCAGACGTAGTTCACATGAACGCAACCCCAGAGACCCAATGTCCCAAAACACCACTCGCTATCGTGCAAGCGATGGATGCGGCGTAAGTCTCTTGTATCGGCACGATGGATGACACTGTTTCCCTTCCATTCTGTCAGAACGCGGTTGGTTGTTGTTCTGTTTAGCTGGCATCGCTGGTCTTACTGTGGCTCTATGCTAGCGTTACTTCTAGACTACAACGATGGAAATCATATTGTATTCCATAAATAAATGTATTATCAACACGTGGTAGTCGTTGGTTTCTCTGTAGGTGGCTTAATCTCTGCTCTTGCTGTGGACCCATGAGCCCTACAGAATGAGTACCCAGAGAGTGGATTTCTGGTTTCTCCGTGTTGTCACGTCGCTGGCTTTGATGTGACTCAAATGATTCTCACGTGCCGTCAACAGAAGACAATCTACAACTGATCTTTTCATTCTTTGAATTTGCTGTGCCATTTGTCAGGCCGACGACCCCAGCACGGTGACCATTGACGCTGACGAAGACGAGCTTACTCTCGACGGCTCCTGCTACGTCAAGGTGTAAAAGGGATCCCCGAGAGCTCTCGATCAGAGCTAAAGGCATCCTATCTTGTAAAGGAGCATGACACAAGAAACGATTGTTTCCCCCAACGGAATTGTTCGAGAGAGACTAGCATGAAGAGTCGTCCTTGATACCCAGGAAACTCTCCGCTATGGTGCTGTCACTGGATGGACACGTGGCCGGGGATAGCTTTAAGGAAGATCATCGTTCGTGTGACAATGAGTTTTTTTCGGCCATCATTGGAGATCTGATGGGCTGGTGCCAAAAGAACGGTTATGATTTGTGCTGCGCTAGACAAAGCAACGAGTTTTTCCATAGAACATGGAGAGTTGATGGGCAGGTGCCAAAGAAAGGTTATGGTTTGTGATGCAAGGAGCAATTGGTCGATTCTCGTCGACACGGCCGATTGATCGCGTCCACGAAAGCCCGGCCAACAACGTGTGTGTTGTATGTACGTTGTGTTCCGTCATATTATTATAGCTATTCTGGGGGCCAGCTCTAGACTAATGGATCGTGAAAATGTATGGACAGTACTGTGGTATCTTCGACGGGCTCCTAAGTTTATATATTGCAGCCTCTTTGTAGGAGATGTCGCCGGCAACGTCTGACAGTATGCATGTGGGTCCTAAGTCTGTGTTATTGTGGTGGCTTTATGCTGTAGAATAGAACAGGTCCTGAGCAAAGACCAGAACCGGTTTTAGCGTAAGACAACAAATCTGCAGTGGGCTAGACGGAAGATAGCACACCCACACCCAGCAGCACACAGTATCACACACCTGGTGGCGAGACGTTGACAGGTTAATGTTAATCCAAGACATGCACCAACACTCCAATCACATCATCGGGCTACGTGAGACACCACACCCGACACAAATATTGATGTGAGGCGACTATTATATTAGGAGTAGACTATATTCGTTTTGAAAGCCAAACTCTCAGCAACGGGTGTTGTCTTGGAACCAATCCCTTCGGTTGGAGAGGGAAAGTCTTCGGGAAGACTGAAAGGTGGAGGGATAGATTTGAAGGGAGTCAAAAGTATATGCCAGTCCTTTGGGGCGTTTTTCTCGCGCTTCCAGGTCCCAGGGCGATCATGTCGAGGGCGAGCTTCTCAAACGCGCTTCGTGTGTTCGATTTAGGTGCGTCGGTCGGTGGTTGCTACGTTTACTAGGAGGTGCATATATTTCTTCAGAACACTTCATGAATGTTGTAGAAGGAAGTGAATTGTTTCTTTGCAAAGGTTGCTTGGTGTTGCTGTTATCTTGAGGAGCAGCATGCTGAACGTTGCCCACTCCAGTCTCTCCCCGCTTTTCCTGTGAGCAAGGAAGGGGCAGCGCACCTGTTTCCTCCAGTTTTTAACCCCTACTGTGCTTGGTATCAAGATGACGCTAGAGGGGTGTGTTGCCGCGGATTGACACAAATAACATCAGCAAGGGCAACACCTAATCCCAACCCTCACCTAACCCCCTGAGAAAAGCTGACGATATCGTACACCAATCTCCGAAGAAAATATGCCCGCACCAGGCGGACCCCCATTCAGCAAAGCCGTATTTACATGTCGGTGTCTTGCAACACATCAACCGAGGAACCTAGTATCGACCCGTAGCCTTAGGCTTAGGGTTCCCTAACTAACGCAAGCCCGTTGAACCTACCCTATTTCTTCAAGCTGCCGTTCCGCCCTAATATGCACACCACGCGGAAGCTCGAGGATTCAGACAAACCGCTAGGTTTCACCCCTGACGTCGTCCGTCATTCCTCGACCAAACCCATCGCCAACAGCGCCTGTTCAATTATCAATGCCCAGTGTGCCCAGTGAGTGCAGCCTTGGGCGAAGACGACGTAGGGAGGCCTCAGCGGACCGTCCGAGCTGAGCTCGAGAGTGCTGCCATCGACAAAGGTGCCGTCGGCAAATATTACCTCGTCCCCGTAACCTGGCGTGACACCCGGGACTATCGAAAGGCAGCCGCAAGAGAGAGAGGGGCGGGGGAGAGGATCGACTTCGGAGGCAGAAAAAAAGGGTAGAAAAAATACGGAGAAGGTGGGGATATTGGGAATGAGAGGGGAAGGGGGGGGCGATAGAACCAACCCATGCATGGTACGAAAAGCGTGACGGGTACGGGACACGAGGGAATTGTTTGCGGCGAAGGATGCATTACTACAATACGCCAAGACCGCGGGTTATGCCAAACCTCGGCACGGTAACGTCCAGCGCCGCAAGCCGCAAAGCCGACGAGCCTCGCAAAGAAAAACGGAATGCCATACACTTGATGTCGTCCCTCCCCAAACGCATATAATATCACGGACATAATGCCACCACCAACACTATTTTTCCGGCTCGACCAACTGCAGCCATGCAGCATTAGAGAGAAAAAAACTCCAACCTAAATCCACCACGGCCTACCCGGTCGCACGTAGGCATTGACGGGACTAAATAGCTGCACGGCCTCGCAGAACTTGATGAGCCTATCTCGATCCCCCAGCTCCAGGGCCTGCACAATGTCCGTCCGGCCTCCTACGCCCCCCCCTCCCACTTCGGCCCCAACCGAGCCGCCCCCCGCCGCCGCTGCCCCTTGCGTGTCGCCGTTCACGTCTGCAGCCGTGTCATCGACCACCGACGGCGAACGTGGCGGCGGGTTAGTCGGGAGCCCGAAGGTGCCACCGAACACCTCCGCTAGCAAAATCGCGCCCTTGAGACTCTCGCCGACGATGGTCGGCGCCAAAAACAATCCCTTGGCGAGACCCGAATCGGTGGGGGGGGGGAGCATGCACCCGAGCGGGATAAATACAAGCCCGCGGTTAAGGGCTATTTCGTTAAGAAACACAGGCCCAACGTTACACGAAAAGAAAGAAAATAGGGCTAAGAAACACAGCTCAGCGGTGGATCCTAGACCAAACTCTAAACTCTATACAGCAACCCGTGCTCGACAGTGGCGAAGAAAACAAGAAACTGAACCTCAACCCGATGTTGACCTTTCTTTTCTCCGAGCGCGCTCGGTAGTGGGGTTGGTTTTGGGGTTGGCCGAGAGACGGGGGCTCGTAGAGCCATACGAAGGAGATTGCTTCTGGCCATCACAGACTTCATCGAGAAACATGTGTGTCCTCGTTGGTGAGAATGCAGGAGAAAAAATAACGAGTGGATCTTGGTGTTTTCTATTGTGCGACCCCGGCTCGTGCTTCAACATAAATACCCAAGGTGTAGACTGGCGTCAGAACAGATGGAACGAAACCACGCAAACACCACACAAGCAGCAAGCCAAGGAGCGCCTTGTTACAAGCTGGTTCACACAAGAAAAACCAAAAGTGTTCCTCGCAAATTCTTAGGTCGGTTTTCGGGAGGTAGGTCGCCAAATTTTGCACACTTGTCCGCAAGGTCGTTACCAAACGTTTCGAGCGTTTTCCTCTTTTGTATTCACCGAATAAACGGGGTCCCGCACTTTCCTGGGACAAAAAAAGCGTAGGAGACTGAGCTGGACCCTGAGTGAATATTTTGCAGGCAACCTGTATAAATATTGCTGTGTACATCCGAAACAAGGAACACCTGTCACCCGTCGAAGAATGACTCTCCAAGCGGTTGTCATTTGTCTGTCTGTCTATCGAAGAACGTTTCGACGACTGCTGTCAAATATCTGCTTGTCTGTCGGTCGAAGGCCTCACCTGGAAGAGGTTCTGGTTCTGCCCCAAGGTCGCCCCCCCCGCCACCCCGGGGGCCCCGAGTCTGTTAGCCGCGGCCCGAACAAGCCTCAGCTTGCCAGCGACGTAACCCCCTTCATGAACGAACGAGAGGGATTATTTTTGTTAAAGGTACAAACGACCGAATGATCGATTAGTGACCACATCGATGCCGTCGCCGACCGTCGCCGCGCGGCGGCGGCGGGGTTGAAAACCTAACCGCACAGTGTGCGCCCCCTTGTGTGCGTATGGCAATGACCGATGGCTTGCACGGGACACGAACACGTTGGAAGGGGCCGCCGAAGTCGTGGACTATGCACGAAAGAACGAGCCGTTGGTTGGGTGGAAAGGGCTCTCGCTGGACATTGTTTTCTCGACGAACAAGACACAGCCACATGGAAGCTGTCATGAACTGGACACACGAACGACCGGAGGAAAACTTCAACTCGTCGTGAAGAAAGAGCAAGAAGCGGAGGCAGCACGCCTCCTCCTGGTCCATCCTGATTCAGACCATACAATTGAGATTCTCGAGTTCAGGATCCCGTCCACGCTTCCAAAAAAGCGCCGAAGAAAAGCAACCGTTCACCAGACTTAGCGATGGTGCCCCCGGGATTCTTGATGAGAGATCCCGCAATCAGATCCGCGCCGACGTGGCACGGCTCCTTGTCCTCTACGAACTCCCCGTAGCAGTTGTCGACGAACACCACCAGCCCGCGCTCCGCCCAGCGAGCCTTGACGTGCGAGCAAAGCCTGCGGTTGTGTGGACCGTTACTAGGCGGTATGTTTCTGCTTGTTTGGTCGACCGAGTGCTTCGATGGCCATGTGGGATGTCCGTCGGTGGGCCGGCGATCTGGATGGTCATCCGACCAGCCCACCGATAGGCTGATGTTGGCCGATCGCCGCCTTGACTACACGTCTTGTCTACAACGAGGGCCTTACGCAGGGTTTTAAAACAAACATGACTGAATGTATCCCGTCCCTTGAGGGATGAAACATCTTGAGCTGGTCAAACAACTCTAGAAAAGTAAAGGGCAGGCACCCGCGGCTGGCAAGTTTACCTCTCTATCTCTTTGATGGGAAGCGACGGCCGCCACTGGTAGCCGCATGAGCGCTGCACGTGTAGGAGCCTGACGGCGGGGTCTGCCTCTATAGCCGCATCGATCGCCTCAAGATCAAACAAGCCCCCAGGCTGCAAGGGAACCTTTCGAAGCGGTAGAGGCGCGGTTCTTGATTAGTTCGCGTCTCGTGTGCCACGATCCAACTTCCACATGTTGTTACGTGCCAACGATACCCCTTAACTTTAAGCCTACCTCTAAGCATAACATGTTTCACGGGACGTGCTTGGAAGGCACCTTTTGAAGCACTGAATAATATTCATCAAGATCGTACCTCGTTACGAAGACGGGACGGAGAAAAATCATATACGCTGTACGGAGAGCAGCAAACCAATCAAGGTCCACCGAGTGCGACGGAAGTTGTCGAACTGGCCGCGCTTGCGGTGCTGCGGGGGTCTCGTGCTGTATGCGAAGCCAACAAGCCAGAGCCGAAATCCGTCAAAAACCAGATATCCCCACCTTCCGTGATGACAATCACACAACACATTCTCGACAGAAAAAGACCGAACAAAACCTTGCCTCGTGATCCGCGCAAAGACGCCACCGGAACTACGTACCGTATGTGACGCAAGACACCGCATTCCCTGGGCCGACTTTCAAAGCTCGGCTATTGCACACGAAAGGAGGATGCCCAACTCAAAGGATGTTTCTTCGGAAAGATCTCGGCGAGATAGCTCCAGCGCTGCCGTGATCGGCATTGCCACTCTTTCCGGTGGGGAGTACTCGAGCTTTGAAAATCGGTCCAGGGGGTGTGATATGTTATGCCATGCTACCTCCGGTATGTGGCTATTCAGGCTGCCTTGAGTACCGGTCGGCGGGGAGATGGCCTTCAATGTTCTCTTGCCCTGCCGCCAAACATTTCTCCCCTTCCCCAAAAGTACTGTTGCTTGTTCAAAAGTTGGTGCTGGCTCCAGCGACTGTGAACAGGGAAAAGATGCCCTTCTATTTCTTCGTCACAGCCCCCGCCCACCCCAATGTTTCGCACCTCCGTGTAGGACACGTGGAACTCCTTGAGGTTGCCGATGAGTCCCTCGGGAAGCGGGTCACTCGCATCTGCGTATTCATCCTGCGGAGGTGACACCACGCGAGCCACGTACACAAGACCATTATATATGAGTGTGTCTGATTATATTGTTCGGTGTGGGTTCGCCGGGCTCTTCGAGTCTTAACACGCCCCCTGTCTGGGTTGTGGACGCTGTAAAAAAGCTGGAAGTCCGCTTTGTGGGCGTTCATTTTCATCTTGCACCCGTCATTTGATAGCACTAGTGCTCTCACGAGCCCGCTGTTACTGCCTTCGACAAGCGGCGCATGCAGTGCTACCAAAGTGTCAGGGTGACTGCCCGTCTATCAAGTTTGAAACTAAGGCTCATTAGCACGTTGCGTGCGAAAGTCAATGGCAGTTTAACGCCCTCGTTCTCGGCGAGGAGGAATAGAGGGAGCGGCACGAGACACCTAGCCTGGAGCTCGACGGAAACAAGACAAGGTCGCCCACCCCGTTCCGCCCTTTCTCGCGTCACTCAAGACCCTCACGTTCATTGGTTTGCGCGTTCCGATGACCTCGTCAAGGGTGTCGTAGGGCCGCCCACTACACGCCAACATGGCATCTCCCGGCCGAAGGACGCCGAAGAGCGCGCAAGCGATGGCGTGGGTGCCGCTGAAGCACTGCACGCGTACCTGCGACGGGCGTGTGTCAACAACATCGACGGAGGACAGGTGAGAGAGGTCGGGGGGTAAAAAGAGACAAATCCTTGTTATCCCTGTGCAGGCGGTTCAATTAGCCGAAGGTTCAGGGTGCGCATCTGCTGCGTGATTGTCCTTTTGCTATCTAGTCCAGCGACCTTCCTTGTTTCGACGTAGAACCGTGACAACAGCAACCGCAGCGCAGCAAGTGTTAAGACAATGGCGACAACCGGCAACGGCGATGGCGACACCAGGGACGACATAAAAAAAAAAAACAGCTCACCAAGGCCGCCTCCGCGCCAAAAAGCCGGGCGTAGACCTTGTCGAGCGTCTCCCTGCCGATGTCCCCGTGGCCATAGCCGTCCACCCCTGCGAAGACGTTGCTGCCAACCCGGAACTCCCGGAAGGTGTCGAGGACACGCCGAAGCGTGCTGTTATCAACAACAGCGACAAATGTGTGTAGCGAGGACGCGATTGATCGGAGGAAACCGTGCCGGGATTGTTGTCCGTCGTTGCGACGATGACGTCGTCACACTCGCTATCTTTGCTGCCATGGCTTGCAGAGGTCGTCATCAAATACGCCGAGACGTCACGTAAGTTTTTTTTTTTTTCTCCCATCATTGGACTCTGACGTCTGCCCCTCTGGCCCCTATCCTCCACTTCTAACAGCTAGACGACCCAACCGGGTCACATAGGAGGGGGGGGTTGGACCCCCGCCTGCGGTTCCTGCCTGAGATATTTTTATCGCGAGAAGGGTACAGCAATCCCTTCCCTCGCGACGTACGAAGTCGATTATGGTTTACTAACAACGAGCTTTGCAGCGCATCGCTTCCAACGGAGACCAGGATTTAATTAGCGAGAAAAAACTCATTCTGTCGGGACTCGAACCCATGACCTGGCCCTTGCCAGGCTGCGAGGCTACCCACTAGACCACCGGGGCGACCAAGTATCACCAAGGCATTTCAGAAGACACCAATCATTATCCAGACATGCACACATGTGGACAAACATGTTGGCACCTTTGCAAACATGACAATGGCTACCTTTCGTAAACAGGGAATGGCGGCACATAGGTTATTGTAGTGCTGTACCGCTGGGGGTTTCCCCACAATTAAGAGCACAGTTTTTTGTTTTTTGTTTTTCTCCCATGATTGAACTCTGTCGTCTGCCCCTCTGGCCCCTATCTTCCACTTCTACCAGCTCGCCCCGGTGGTCTAGTGGTATCCTCGTAATCCGCTAGTCGCAGAGGTCGTGAGTTCGAATCCCCATGGGGTGAAAAAATTATGAAATTTGCGGGTGAAAGTGAAATATAGCCACAAAGCTCTCGTGAGTACCAACCTTCGACGTTAGCACCGTTGACGAGGGAANTTCCACTTCTACCAGCTCGCCCCGGTGGTCTAGTGGTATCCTCGTAATCCGCTAGTCGCAGAGGTCGTGAGTTCGAATCCCCATGGGGTGAAAAAATTATGAAATTTGCGGGTGAAAGTGAAATATAGCCACAAAGCTCTCGTGAGTACCAACCTTCGACGTTAGCACCGTTGACGAGGGAAAGGGACGGCGGGACCCTTCTCGCGATAAAAATTAATTCAGCACGCACCGCAGGAGGAAGGTGGGGCATGAAAAGAAAAAAAAGACCTGGTGTTGACCCCCTCCTCTGTGACCCTGGATGGTTGTAGTTGTACGAAAAAAACAATGAAAAGTGTAGTACTCTACATACGCTGAAAAGTGCAGTACACGTCTCACNCGCGATAAAAATTAATTCAGCACGCACCGCAGGAGGAAGGTGGGGCATGAAAAGAAAAAAAAGACCTGGTGTTGACCCCCTCCTCTGTGACCCTGGATGGTTGTAGNTTCCTGCGGTTCTTGCCTGAGATATTTTTATCGCGAGAAGGTTACAGCAATCCCTTCCCTCGCGACTTATGANACGAAAAAAACAATGAAAAGTGTAGTACTCTACATACGCTGAAAAGTGCAGTACACGTCTCACCACGAAAAATGGGACTGTCGCCATAATAAATAGGACGAAAACACACACACCAGCTAGACGACCCAACCGGGGTCACATAGGAGGGCGGGGGTTGGACCCCTTCCTGCGGTTCTTGCCTGAGATATTTTTATCGCGAGAAGGTTACAGCAATCCCTTCCCTCGCGACTAATGAAGTCGGTCAAGTTTACTAACAACGAGCTTTGCAGCGCGTCGCTTCCAACGGAGACCAGGATTTAATTAGAGGGAAAAATTGCACTCTGTCGGGACTCAAAACCCACGACCTGGCCCTTAGCAGGCTGCGAGGCTACCCACTAGACCACCGGGGCGACGGTTTGTTTTTGTTTGTTTTCTCCCATCATTGGACTCTATCGTCTGCCCCTCTGGCCCCTATCCTCCACTTCTACTAGCTAGACGACCCAACCGGGGTCACATAGGAGGGGGGGGTTGGACCCCCCTCTGCGGATAAAGCCTGAGGTATTTATATCGCGAGAAGGGTACAGCAATCCCTTCCCTCGCGACTTACGAAGTCGATTATGGTTTACTAACAAACGAGCTATGCAGCGCGTCGCTTTCATCCTAGACCAGGATTTATTTATTCAGTGAGAAAAAAGCTCTCTCTGCCGGGACTCGAACCCATGACCTGGTCCTTAGCAGGCTGCGAGGCTACCCACTAGACCACCGTATGTACGAACGGANCCGAACCCATGACCTGGCCCTTAGAAGGTGCGAGGCTACCCACTAGACCACCGGGGCGACCGGTTCGACCACAGTATAATGCAGCGAATCCTGTCCCCGACTCTTACAGTACGCTGCTGGTGCTGCGCAGCTATGCTGCTGTATTTTTCATACTGCTGCCAACCAAGCCCCATAACCGGTACAGTAGTCTGCATACATGCAGCTTTCGTGCGGTACTGCTACCACGCGTCCATATACCAATGTGCTGCGCCGTCCAAACCCTTCGGGTCCTCTGTCATTCGCCCATTAGCAATTACCCACCGTTTCGTGTGGGCATCGACCTCGGCGAAAAGCGGAATCAGTCTCTCCCCCGCCTGGTCCACGGCGTCCTTGCCCGACAGCCCAACCCCCAAGGAAGGCGTAACTCGTTGTGCTCCTTCTACCGCTACCTTTCGTGCCCGAGGGGCAAGGGACAGCACGTGCACACGACGATAGGCTGGGCGAGTGCGGCACTGATGCCCCGTTCTGGTCGCCCTCTGATGGGCGGTTGGGGTGCCCCTGCCGCTGCCGCTGGTGTAGGGAAAAACGAACCCGCCAGCACCACCGCCATCGCTTGAAAACCTCAACAGGACTAGCAGGAAAGAGAAAGCAACGAGGAGAACATGGCGAGGGACGCCACTCATGTCCTCGCACACCCAGGCCGGCTGAGAGATACACAGCAGTAGTCGGCCGTGTTGTAAGCGCTGCGGCCGCAACGCAAATGCACGGTATTCCCTGAGCCGAACGCCTTCTTCGATGGACACCCGTGAGATGAATTCCCGGGGCCCCCACAGGAACTGTCCCACTCTGTTGTGCCTCTGCTCCGACGCTGTTGTGTTTTGTTTTGCCCCCGCACTGCACTACTCCGTGTTGTGCACGCTGGCAAGAGCCACCACCGTCTTCTGCGAGGGCCTGTATGCTACATCGATATCGCTAATATCCTCAACCTGGCAGCTAGAATCCGAGCAAGAGCTACCAGCCACTACAAGCGCTTCCCGAAGCGCTCACCAGAAGATTAAACGACGATAACGTAGTCAAGCACCTCCTGGGAACACGGAAGCTTTGGTCTATCTCGGGGGGCATGCTCTGCTAGCGGATTAGGTGAGCATTGGGACGGAGAAGGCGCAGACCACCTCTCAGCTCTACGGGACCATCAGCGTTACGCCAATAGTTTGTTCGGTTACGTAGGCGCTGTGGTGTGCTGCGGCTCCGCCTCTGTGTGTCGCGTTCTTTTCGGACAACATTCAAATCCAAGTGGCCTATACAAGGTACCTCGAGAGCTGAGGATGGTCTTGTCCAGATTGGTGGACCCACACATCACAACCACACCACCAGTTAGAAGCGGAAGATCCACAGAACTCCTGTGGGAGTAAAATGGTGGCGGGTCTACATATACCTATGTGACCCCAGTTGGGTCGTCTAGCTGGTAGGAGTGGAGGATAGGGGCCAGAGGGGCAGACGGCAGAGTCCAATGATGAGATAAAAAATATGTATACTTCGAGTATACATGTGTAGAATATATGTTAAGGAGAAATAAATACACGCATATATCCACGCTTTTGTAGGAACCAATACCTGGAGTCGAGTGTGCGGCACAACAACGAACAGCCCATGACAGCGTTGACGACCGGGGGCCTGGGGCGAACGTTCCATGTTGGGGATGGCCCAGCGCGGCCTGCTGCGTCCCTTGGGTCCCTGGCCCGCCGCGGCCGGGGACCAAACTGGCGCAGACGTGGGCCGGACGGACGCGTAGTAGCAACCACTTGGAACGTGCGGCACATGCTGCGGTCCTGGTCCCTGCCGCGCGGGTGGCTGTCGGCGGTGGTGGTGGCGGTTCGCACAGGGCGAGGACTCCTGTTGCTCGCGAGCTAGTAGCGTGTGTCGCACGCGGCGCGAGTGGTGGAGTGCTGGTGTGCCGACGTGAGGGGAGGGAAGCACGACAGTCCCGCCATCTATCTCGCCATGGGACCGAGTTGTTGTTGCCTTCGAGAACTCTAGGTTCCGGTTCGATGAACGCTGGTTTCAAGGAAATGATTTTTCATTCATCTCAAATGGACCCAGAGTAGTGCTTGCTGGAACTTTAGGCAGAAAAACAATGTGGTCTTGTCGCGCGGGTGAAGCAGAGCTGCAGATGGAGTACGGCGCCTTCGATATCGCAGGTCGTCCTTTTCGTCCGTGCCCACCTGCTGGTGACACCCAGACATCCACCTCCACACACTCTTCGTTTTTAACACCTGAAACACCCCCCGATACGAAACCCGCGCCACCATCCCCTGCGACAGCAGATCCTTTATTCATGCAGAGGAACGGAGAAGAGAATACAAGGCACGCGGCCGAAAACGGCAACACCTACGTCAGCAGCAGAATCTCAGGCGGCCCCGGCGGCGGCGGCGGCGGCGGCGGCGGCCTGTCCTCGCCGTCCAGATCTCGCAAGCTTACTCCGCGCCACATCACCTCCGGCCGGGTCTGCCGATCCCCTTCGCCGGTGAACCACCGCCGCATATCCCTGGAAGAAGGCGTGGAGCTTTCGAGAGAGCCGTGGCGACAGGGGAAAGTAGGACCGGGCTGGGAGTCCATCGAGGGAGGAGGCGGTAGTAGTATGGGTGGGGCGAGCAGTCGCAACGGCCGGGGAGGGGGCGCGGATGGGTCTGGGGCGGGGTACGAGGTGGTGGAACGCGAGGAGCCGTTGTTGCTCGAGGGGGGACCCGAGGAGCAGAACGATGAGAGGTGAGCGCGTGTAGAGGAACATGTTCGTTGTGCGCGTGCTAGCGGCCATGCCTACGTCGCGCTTGAGCCGTGCGCGCTCGTGTTTCGTGCGGTTGGGCGTGGTTGTTTAACTCGTGTCTTGGATTGTGAGCGAAGCGGCTAGGAGCAAGGTGTTGTGCGAGAAAAACGCTCGCTCGTTGGATGCACACCACAAGCAGTGTGCACAAACAGCCGTTTGAAAATTCCCAAGAAGCAAATGTTTTGTCGTGTTTCCAACCACCGTCTAGCGCACCCAGTGTCATCTCCCGATCACTCCCGTCCCACACGATTTCCCCGCACCACCCCGCGCTTCAACAACCACACGTGAACTCTCGCCATGACAGCATGGCGGCCGGCCTGCTTTATAGCGCCGGCGACAACTCCTCCTTACGGTTGGGGGGAGACTCCTCGTTAGGCCCCGCGTTCGGGCGGCACGGCAGGTCCGGCAGCGTACAGAACAACGGCGGCGAGGGGCTCTCGGATCGCAACGGTTACAGCGGTAGGGGAGGCGGCGGCGGCGGAGGGGGGGGGGAATGCTGTACCATATCGGGGAGACCGCTTGTGTACCTCTGCGCGGCTTGCTCGTCGCTGTGCTCGATTCTGCTGGGCTACGACGTCGGGGTCATGTCGGGGGCTAAGGAGTTCATCCGTCCCGACTTAGGCCTCTCGACCGTGCAGAACGTGAGTTTGGGGAGGGGGGGGGACCTTGCTTGGTTTACGCCCGAGGTTGCTCATGCTCTCGTACAGTAGCTCCTGGGGATGTCGTGCAGGAGCATAAGCTGGTATGGCGTCGATTTCTGCCCCCAGGTCGTCCTCGTTCTTGGCGATGACAGTCGTTGACGTACTCGGTTTTTTGCGTTACCTGCATTGGCCCTTCTACGTAGCATCCGATCAAGAGCTGATGTGCTTATTGTTTCTTCGTTTTGGGGCCCAGGGGAATTGCACGGGGAGCCGGCCCCCATTTTCCCCTTACTGCTCTTTCCCGGAAAGAACCTGGGTTATTTGTTAGTTCCCCCCTTTCAGACTTCTGTCCTTTTCCGTCCGCGCAGTGGTGTGCACGCCGCTGGCACAGGCTACAAAGGCCTCTGGTTTATGGATATCCCCGGCTGCTGGGCCACCGATGAAAGCTGTGGGGAAAATTACCTGAAGCACACATTTGTGCACCATGACGGTACCCGCATGCACGCTCAAGCATTCCCAAGAGGTGTCTAGCGGAAGGAGTGAGGCGCAGTTTGGCGGATGCCTGGGCTTGGCCCTTGAGGGTAGCAACTCGCGCAGTTGTGCGTTTTCTGTACGTGTTGCAGCACCGTAGAGCACGGCACCAAGTAGTTACTGCCCTCTAGTTGCGCCGCACCGGCGGCATGACAAGAAGCCCCACCGCTTCAGGCCCGGCGGGGGTTGTACTCGGGTAACCGCATTCCGTAGTAGTTAGAACTCGCATTCCTATTGCCTCGTCCTCCATCCCTGCTCACTGCTTCCTGGCCATCCTTCTTCCTGCCACCGCAGGAGGTCATGGTAGGGTCGCTCAACATCGTGGCGGCGTTCGGAGGTCTCGTCGCGGGGAAAGCGGCGGACCGTCTCGGGCGGAAGCCGACGACGGCTCTGGCGTGCGTAGTGTTCATCACGGGCGCTACCATGATGACCTTGAGCCACACGTTCTGGTTCCTACTTCTTGGGAGGGTGGTGACGGGAGTCGGGGTGGGATGCGCCATGGTGATCGCTCCTGTGTACATCACTGAGCTGGCCCCGCCCGACGTCCGGGGCATGCTGGTGTCACTGACTGATATCTGCATCAACGTGGGGATCGTGTTTGGGTGAGAAGGGGGGGAGAGAGAGAGAGAGAGAGGCAGACAGACAGACGGACAAAGCACGAGATAGAGGGGAGGGCGGAGACGCTGAATGAGATAGGGAGTCAGAGGGAGACAGAGAGGCAGAAACAGAGGCAGGAACACGGACACGGAACGAGGGCGAGAAAGTTGTGGCTAGGCATCCTGGACGTGGAAAAAGGCAGAAGTGAGATAACGCGCACCTCTTCGCACCCTGAGCGTTCGTTCAGACCCAGGAATAGTTGCTTCTCGTCCGAGTTTGTTGCATGCATCGGACGGAGGCGTTGTTGTGCTTGGAGGTGGTTCGGGTGACTCGCAGCACCGTAGCTACAGCAGCACATCTAGCGCTGCCACTTCCGTAGTTATTGCTCGTTTCTCAGGGAGGGATACCTAGATATCCTCTTATATATCTCTCAAACGAGCAGCGTACGCACACCGTAGCGAGACGTTGAGCTCGTTGTTGCTACTGCTTGTGCTTGCTCATTCACGAGAGAAGTTAGTTTTTTCCGCGTCGCCCATTCACGTGTGTGCATGAGTACCTCGGATCAGCGTTCTCCTGACCCTTTTTGCGCCTACGATGATTGTGATGGTGGCGGTGTGTGCAATTCCCCCCGCAGCTACGCCGCGAGCCTGCTGTGCTCGGACGTGTTCAACTCCGACTCCGCCAAGTGGCGCTCCATGATCGGCATCGGCATGCTGCCGCCCCTCCTCATCCTGGCGTGCCTCTCTCTCATGCCCGAGTCGCCCCGATGGCTCGTTGCCGCGGGAAGGAACGCGGACGCTCTGCACGTCCTCAAGAGGGTGAGCAAGCATTTTGTTTTGAGATGTTGTTGCGGTTGTGGAGCTCTTTTTTTTTTTTTGGGCGTGGTGAAATTGTTGTTGCGGTTGTGGAAGGTTGTTTCCGTGGAGATGACGTCATCATGCCAACGGTTGCGTTTGTCTTCTTTCGCACCGCCGGCATCGGTGTCGCCATCATTTTTTTTTTTTTGGCGTTGCTCGCCTTCTCGGGAAAGAAAACGAGAGGAGGCGTTTCTGTCCCCCTCTTGGCCCCCAAGAGAATGGAAGCCTGATGATGATGAAATGTTGTGGCGGTAGACGCGGTGGCGACCTTTTGGTTGTTGTGTGCACTGCTGCGGAAGGAGCGCCGTCGCCGTAACGGGTGATTAAGGATTTTTTTTTTTTCGTACTTTTTCTGCGTGGCGGACGTTGTCCCTGTGTGGCCGATCTTCTATTGCGGTGTTGGAACACGTCGCACATCTACTCTGATTGGTGCGCAGCAAAGAGGAGGACTGATACTCGAGGCTTGGTGACCTTTGTCGCGCGGCCACCGCTGATGGTCCTCTCTCACTCTCTCTTGCTTGCTTGTATCGTTGATGGCCCGCGCGTTTGCGACACATGTGGGAGGGGTGTTATATTGTGTATAAAGTTTCTGTCCATTTCTTGGCATGGTGTAACGGTTCTACATATGTACGAGTCCGTGCAAAGTTGATCCAATTCAGTTGGGTGTGTTTTGATTTCGATCGACAAGTCGGCACATCCTGTCCCGATCGATGGGTATGTTGTATGCACACGTACCAGGTAATGGACGACGAAGACGATGCGGAGAGCACCCTGCAGACCATCTCGGAGGCCACCACCACCACCGAGGGTAAGATAGGCGGATCGAACATCGCCCCTGGCCGATGGTTTCCCCGAGCTAGCGCCCCCCGGGTATCCGACACACTTTTTAAAGCGGGGCCGGAATTGCTGGATGCGAAGAGCGCGCTGTTTTTCAGCCCATTTGGGTTCTCAACATAGATTCGCATGGTACTGGACGTGGTACGGCGGTGAAGGATCGAGTTGTCTTGTTTTTGGAACGTCGTTCAGTTTGGTTATACCCTTCACGCTGTTATGTGTTGGAAGTATGTTTGGGTTTCGTCCGGAGACCGTCTGGTTTTTCTTTCTGGAACACACTATACGGTCACACCGGACTCTTGCAATTGGATGCCCTTGGCCTAGTTTTGGGGGAAGGTGCTTGGCAAATGTAGCGCGGGTGAACGCGCCGGCGTGCCATCCATCTTGGATGATCGATTGCTCCCCGTCAACTACCAAATGGGTGAGAAACTCGTGGGAAGAAGCTCTCGAAGCCACGCTTATCGGCGTTGGAAGCCTTCTGGTTGAGGAGCAACCGAGGTTGTCGTTTGTCCATCGCACACATGTGCCTTCGCCCGAACCTTTGACGATGCTGAGGCGCAATCCGTCACCGCTGTCGACCTGGGTTTGGGCACAGGACGGCGGTAATGCTGCAGTATGGTCGTGTCGAGGATTCTTTCGGCGAAGACACGGTCAGCACCAACAACGCTACCGTCACGGGCTACCCCGTACCACTTCCATCGCAAGTCACTTATGGTGATTCTGCGCTCGATCATGCAAGACAGGCCGTCCGCCGAAGCACTCGCTAAGACGACAATCAATTGTTGCTGAACCCACTTGATCCACGGTGAATTTGGAGGTCACATGATTTTTAAGGGCGAAACTGTGTTCGCATCTCCCGCCCCGCACTGCCTATATATCGCCGAAGATTTGTTTTTGTTGTTTGATGCGTGTCTAGACTATTTTTCCGGCGGTCCATTCGCTGCGTTCCGCTTGCATTAATTGCGCCCCCCCCTGGTCCTGCTGCACCGTCAATCCAGCTACGTGGAAGGACGTTCTGGTGCCTAGCGACCGGACGGTGAAGGCGGCCATGGTCCTGGGGATCGGCCTAGGATTCTGGCAACAAGCCAGCGGGAGTGAGGTGCGGCAGCAGTCTTCGAACCCCAAACCTGTTGTATCGTGACTGCCAGCTGACTAGCCGCCGTTGCACCGTGCGGGAGAGCCGGCGACTCGCCTTTCTATGGCTCGGGGGTTGAAAAGTTGGGTTTCTTTTCTTGAAACTATTTTGAGAAGACACGGTATTTTGTGTTGTTGGATTGACCGCAGCTCGTGACACATTGGTGGCTACAGTATTCCCTCTCCCGACAATATCGCAACCTGCAAAGCATCCGAAAATGTGCGTGTACTTATCCTACCATTTTTGGGAAACAAGAATCATGTGTCTATGTAGGACCGCCGACGTGGATTGACGCCATTACGCTTTGCTGCCTCTTCGTCAGCTCACATCCTTTGGATTCATGTTTCCCGCTCGGCCGCCTCTCGCCCTTCTACACAAAACCCGCACGGCGGGCTCTAAACCCGTAACTGCTACCATCGGACGCTACCGCACACGTCGGTGTGCGTGGATCGGGCTGCTGGTTCCTCGTTTGGATCCCACTTGGAACGTTCTTTGATGGGTCAGGCGGCGGTCTACTATACGCCGGAAGTGCTCAAGGATAAGGGGTGAGTGAGGACCCGGTCTCCATGATGGAAAACATACGCATGGAAAATGTTCAGCTTGAGAGGGCGTTTGTGGTGTCTGCGGCGGGAGCATGAGCTCGCGAGCGCTCGATGCCGACGCGAAGGTCGGCCAAAAGTGTCGCATCACATCACCGAGGCACGGAACAAAGGACCCCCCCCATCGACAGCAGCACACAAGTACTAAAGAGCTTGCATGAATGCCCCCCCGTACTGTTGCGGTTGTGACAAATTGTTTGTCCGGTAGGGTCGAAGCCATCGCGTGTCTTGGAACCCGCCATGCCCTACACCCGCTGACGACGCTTGCGGTCGGTCCACGGACACCCTTACGAACGCTAAGGCATGCAAAACATGAGTCCGCCTTCCCCCCGGCCCTCACGCTCATCTCGTCCGCGTCGTGGGAACAACTCCACGGGACGGTGTTGATGAATGATGGGTGTGGTGCAGATGGGCCAACCGGGCGATCTTGAGAGGAAACATGGGCGTCGGCGGTTTCAAGCTCCTCGGAGAGGTCGTAGCCTTCATGCTGCTCGACAGGTGCGTTTTTGTTTTGTGAAGTATTGTGCCGTGTGCACTTGTTTTGTCCTCCGGAGTTGTGCCATGTTTGGTTGTTCATTCGATGTTGCGCGTCATCTACATCAGTTTTCAGCTTCACAGCACCTTTTGTATCTTCTTTTGTTCGTGTTTCGTTTCTGTCGTGCTATTTGAGCGATTTTGTGTGACACCACACGGTACGCCATCGGGTTTCTGCGCGACGGCCGGCTAGCGTGACCCGACAATATCTGCACAACCCTTGTGCAGTTTTACTTCCCTCTTGATCAATACCACAAGGTGGCCCTCCAATTACCAGAACCAGCATTCGCGTTTGCGGAGTCTGAGGGAAAAATACCAACGAGGAGGAGGTCGTGCATGCTTGGAATCTTCCACGAAGTATCGCAAACATGTCCCACTGTCCCGTACCCGCTCCCTTCCCTCATGCGTGCCGCCGGAACCCCTCTCCGTTACACAAATACAGAATCGGAAGACGTCCGCTCTTTCTCGTTAGCAGCGTGCTGGTGACGCTCTGCCTGCTGATGGTCGGCTTCGCGTTCCTTCTCAACTGGACGAGCATGCTCACCCTGTTCTGGCTGTGCATGTTCATGTTTACCTTCTCGCTTGGGCTTGGGCCCGTGACGTTCGTGGTCGCCTCCGAGGTGTGCTTGTGCGTTATTTGCACATGACTTCATACAGATTTCTTAATCGTTTCTTTCGGTTGGTTGAGGTTCGCTGGGCTCTTGGAGTCGAAAGCACGTCAGCTGTGTGACTTGTTCGAGCTTGGGAAACGTTACTGATGGCAGGGCAGCTGGCAAGTTGATCCACACGAACACCACTTTACTTTCATCGTGCATCACATCTTGATGACACTACCATTGTGCTACTTTGCTCAGATGAGCCCACTCCGGCGGCGCGCCTGTGTGATTGTGTACGTGCATGTGCATGTTTGTTTCTTTGATGGGCATCGTCCTCTTTTCAGACACGATGAACTCCCCATCCTTTTGTTGCCTCTGGAACGCAATGATCATGTGCGTGTGTGGTGACAGATTTTCCCGGTGACCATCAGGGGCAAGGCGATGTCGGTGGTGATCTTTGTTAATCGCATGATGAGCGGGGTGATCGCTCTGTCGTACCAGAGCATGTCAGAGGCCATGACGCCGGAGGGATCCTTCTTTTTCTTCGCGGCGCTGTCTGCCATCTCCGTCGCCTTCTACTATTTCTGGGTGAGTGTTGTGGAATACCATATGTGACGTACGATAACACCCCCCCTGAACCGATTTTCAAAGCTCGAGTGCTACGCGACAAAAATCAAGTGTAAACAAGACGATGCGTTTTCGGAAGGCTCTGGACGAGTCGATTGCGACGACGAAATTTTCGACGCCATCACTATTTGTTGCTGTGGAGTAACCTGGCTTTGAAAATTGGTCCAGGGGGTGTGATATTCATGTCACCTACGGTAGCCACACCCTCTGCTGCGCGCAACTTTGGGTTAATTATTCCACCATTTGCATGCTGTTGGTTTGTTTTCCTGGCAAAGGGCGTGCCAGAAGGGTAAACTAATGTCTCGAAAGTGGATATAGTGGCAACAATTGGTAACCTGGCAACGGTGGCGTTCGAAAAGCAAGTGTGATTCTCGCAAATTTGGCGCAGTCGCGCGCACAGGGTTTTGTATCCACTTTGTACCCACACAAATATGGAGAATTGCGCGATGAGCTCGTGCGAAACAATTGTCAGCTGTAACGTGCCCCGAGGGAAAAAAAGAGCTGCATGCTTCTCTCGATCAAAATGGTGGCAAGCGCCGTAGAAGGAAACCGGAGAAAAGGGTGAACCTCCTGTGTGATGGAGACTTGTGTGTCCGTAAGCATAGGTTTTTCGACGTCCACAACACCGACACATGACACAGACGCGCGTTTAGACTGAGAAAAGGGTATGTTTAGTGTTTTGTGTCACGGGGGCACATGCATTCTGCGGCGCCCCCGAGCAATAGGCCCTCTCCTAGAAGACCTACTTTGTTCAGACTTGACACCAGCCCACGGTGCTATCCTAGAAGAACATGCGCACTCCCGTTTGATTTGATTCCGTTCTAGTGTCTAAGTTGTATGTTAACCTTTATCAATTTTGTCCAAGAAACTCTGAACGCTTACTGACGAGTGTACAAATTGCTTGCGATGGTACTCCGTGTTCACGATGTGCCACGAGGGTATACGATTGCTCTGTCACGGTTGGTTCCGTAATCGTTGATGGGTTTCTCGGCGTTGTAGTTTTTTTTTCGGTCTGTTTGTGTTGCCGTTTTTTCTGGACTTGCTGGTGTGGTTGAACGAGTTTTCTCCCCTCCTTCCGTCCGTACAGCATCGCATCCGTCATGTTGAAAGCCCCAATAAATTCAACAGTCTCAGGTATTCACCACACTGGTTGAACCAAGGCGTTGCGCACGAACGCCGTCGTACGTACCTCCCACCATGTCTGTGCTGGTCCATCAGCGCTCTGGTCATCGCTATCTACACTTCATGGTGTAGACTTGCTACCATTGTGAGAGAACGCAGCGAACGACACAAGCAACAGCAGCAACGACATCTATGTGTTCCCCCCGGCCGCGCGCGCGGTTCTCCCCAGGTACCCGAAACACGAGGGAGGACTCTGGAAGAAATTACCGCCGACCTGGGGTCATCACTGCCCCCCTCCGTACCCGGGCCCAGAGCTGGCCCAGCGAACGGAGGGCCTCGACACGTGCCATTGGCTCGAGACGACGAAGAAGTCTACTGAGGCCACGTTGGCGAGGACTCAGAAGGCCCTTTTGTGCGACGCGTCGATGTTCCCAGAACCACGGAGGCGTTCTGCTGGGGGCAGAACGAGCAGCTTCGTGCGCCATATGCGGTGCTGGTAGGAGACAGCGAGCAGGGCCAACCTTCTTGTTACGTTTTGTATTGTCTTACCTGCGTGGTTTTGATTGTTTCCGCGGAAGAAGGCAGGATCCTACACAACTTGTACACACTTTCTTTCCTGGTTTGCTTTTTCTGTTTCTACCGACGTGGGTGCGTTTCGTGCAGGCGTTTTTGTCCTGTGGGTCGTGTTATCTGCAGTCAACAATCGCGCTGCTGTGGTTTTGTTTTTGCTTTTCCGTGTGTTGTGTGCGTCGAAGATAGTTGAGCCGCGCAGACCTCTTCCGACCGCGCGATGGCTGGTGCGAGAGCGCTAGAACTAGCAAGATGGACCGAGGGTGGCATGCATGCCTAGCAGCAGGTCGGTTGGTGTCACAGCTTACTGAGGTTCACTTAAAACCTTTTTAGGATAAAAGACCCGACCGAGAGGACACGTGTCATTGATGTCCTGTAGAGTAAATCGTTGAATGAACTAGTTAGTCCGCGCGCGTAGCATGTTGTGTAGCACTTCACCGAATGCGATTTGTTTCGTACAGCAGCTACTCGGCCTTAATTCGCTTTCAGCCGTGATGGATAAACGGGTGTCGTGGTGCGTGCTATCTATCGGACGGTCGGAGGATCCATCATCTCTCTCTATCTATTGTATCCCCCGCCGTTCTCCTGTAATCAGCCAGGATGATGAGGTCATCATTCGAAGACGACTTGATTTTCCCAAGATCTCCCAGCGTGCTGTCCTCGAATCCACCGTGGATGACGTCACCCGACATCCAAGGATCTTCGATCGTGCCCTATTTTTTTTGCTGTTTTTTAAATTCCGCCGCAGGGGGCGTTGGCCAATCAGCGAACTGCCCGTAACTCTTCACGAAAACAGCGCTACAGATGGCGCCCGCACGTAAGAACCTCTAGTTTCGGCCGAGGCTGGGGTTCTTATTTTGCTGATCATCCTCTTGTGGGCTACAACTGTCCGCCATATTGGTTTTAGTGTAGGGTTCTTAACCGAGCTCACAAATGGTACTCAAGTGCTTAGCTTATGATTTTTTGCGAGTCTCGTTTTCTTAACTGCTAAGTTCTTAAGTGCGGGCGCTACATTATCTGTACTAGATCTGGTCATGATTCTCCATCTCTACCTCTCCATCTAGACAAAGCAAGAAAAACACGCACACGCGCCGTAGTGTCCCGCTTGAAGGCAACAAGCACAGCACACAACGGACTCTCTACGCGAAGGGCGTCTGCAGCATAAGCAGCAGTAGAAGGAGAACACGCGCTGCATCGCGGGTGCCAAGTTTGAGTTTCTTGGGATGATGTCTCGCGGACCATGAAACTCGACCTGATGGCTGATCTCATCGTTAATTGTCGAAACGCAACCAGCGCACAAGCTGCCTGCTGCGGCGCTGCTAGCTCTAGTTACCCGTTCCCGTCGGAGAGGGCGTACAAGCATCTCGGCTACACAGAGCTGGTTGTGGTTCAAGTGCGAGATTCCCTAGCAAGCACGCTAGAAGCATCGTGCAGCTGCAGCGGGAGCAGAACGGGCGCTGCTTGATGCGTGCTGCACGACGGGGTGTGGAGATCGATGGTGAGCGTTTGTTTGTTTCGGGAAACAAGGACCCTCGACGTACTACTTTGTGAGTCAACCTGCTCCACGGCAAGTACCAACGAACGCAAAAACCCCGGTTCTCACGCCACAGCAAGCGATAACTGCTCAAACAACAGTGTGAGAAGTCCTGAAATCGTCTCAGCTACACAGAACTGCTGGTAGTCTCGGAGGTTCGCAGCGTGGGTTGAGATCGGCCTTTGAGGCCCGGTCAGGCTATATGCGAATACAAACTACACAGACAACAGACAGAAAAAAGAATGGAAAGACTTTCGACCAGACCAAGCTCTACCGAGACATGTGTGGCAAGCACGACGCAACAAGTGCAGGCCGACAGTAGAGGCGCAATAGACAAAACCTGAACCGATCGCGGGCAACCGTGTCCTGTGAGAACGCACGGAAGCAGTAGACCCTTAGGCCCTCAGAGGTTTCTCTCGATCTGCTTGTCAGCTCCCGGCTGTGCACCTCCTAAAGGTGCAGCAAGGTGCAGCAAGGTGCAGCGAAGCTGCATGATCTCCGCTCTATCGGTCTCTGAGCGAGCAGCTGATATGCTTGGACCCACGCAACGACCCAACCCGAAATGTATATCGGAGCACCATGGCGTATGAATAGACCCACGGTGCAGGTGTAGGCTCGGCTTCTGCTCTGTTTTGGGTTTTGGATGTAGCCGGCCAGGATGTAGTGCGGGGGATACGGATGTTCGGGGTATCCGTTCGAGGTGATCGTCGTCTGTTCGCTCCCCTTGCAACTTTTTTATATTTATATTTTTGCTCTACAGTCTAATTATGTTGTTGTTGCAGTTGTTGTTGTGTACCTTTTAATGTCGCTCTTAAATGTCCGTGCGTTTCAACTGACGCGGACGCCTTCCGTGGTCACAACCCAACTCCCCTCACATCTGGCCACAAATTCGACAAATTGTGAGCAAATTCGAATTTATTACAATATGCCGAACTGGTCGTTATGAGCCCGTTCGTCTTCGCAAACAGTCGTCGGGGCTGGTACAGACCATGATATAGAGATGGATTCGTTGGGTCACCCTGCTAAGGGCCGCTAAGGGACAGGTCATGGGTTCGAGTCCCGACAGAGTGAGTTTCTTACTAATCAAATCCTGGTCTCCGTTGGAAGCGATGCGCTGCAAAGAAAGCGCGTTGTTAGTAAACTTGATCGACTTCATACGTCGCGAGGGAAGGGATTGCTGTACCCTTCTTGCGATAAAAATATCTCAGGCAAGAACCGCAGGAGGGGGTCCAATCCCCCCCTCCTGTGTAACCCCGGTCGGGTCGGCTAGCTGAAGTGGAGGATAGGGGCCAGAGGGGCAGACGACATAATTCAATGGTGACAGGAAAAAACAAAAAACTGTCTGGTCGCCCCGGTGGAGTTTGTAACCCCAAAGCCTTCTAGAGGTCGGATCAGGGGTTCGAATCCCCCGGCGTAAGCAAGCTTTTCTTCCTAACGTGAGTTCTTCTCTCGCTTCCGCTTCTGGCCTGGTGGATAGCGCTAGATCGTGTGTACACAGAGGGAAGAGAGTGTTGAACTCTTCTCGCATTAAAAATCGAACGCAATGTACCGCAGGAGGGGAGGGTAGAGAGGGGTTCTTCTGTGTGACCACAGGTTGGTACACGGCACTATTATTAGTACTATAGTGTGACGTGAGCGCTGATTTGACGTGACGACCAAAAAAAAAAAATGATGAAAAAATATAAATTCCCCCAAGCTGGCTGGTCGTTACGCGAGCAGGGACCAGACGTCACGGACTCGAATGGAGGCTTCACACATCTGGCCGCTACTCAAGATTTTGTGTCTTGAAACGAGTAAGTCGAGGTTGGGAGGTAGGAAGGGAGAGAGAGCATGGCGAACCTAAAAAACTTGAACCCACCGAGAGCGGGGGCTGCTGGCTGCATTTCTGCCTTTCCTATACGAAAAATAAGCCGCCGCTGACGCTTGCTGTACGGGATTGGTCCGCCTTCAACGCACGTACTCGTCAGCAGCAGCAGCTACTCACTCTCAGCAGAGAACCTCCAATTCGTAACGGCCCTCTCGGATTCCTTACGGGCCTACAAGAGGCAGCGCTAACTGCTGTTTTCATTTGCTACAGTACACTGGACCGCACGTACGCGCCGTGTCTCATTCCCTCCGCAGCAAGAGGAACTGGCTCCACTGGAACAGCTCGAGCGACGCGCTGCGTCTGCTCCGACTGATGATTAACGACCGCCCCGCAGAACAGCGCACATCAAACCTCTTAGATGCGTGAAACCACGATTATTCAAGCCCACCAGCACGCACAAGTCAACCGGCTGGCGTAGTTGCCATAACTGGTCTTTCTTGTTTCTCGGTTCGTGCATGATGATGATCCACAAAAACAACAACACCGTTCCGCGCTCGCCCACCGGGCGCCGTGTCTGGTTCCGATATACTGGTGTAGTCTAGTCTAGCTAGTCTATGAGGGTACTGAGAAACGGGTAAAGATGAATCAGAAGATCAATATCGGTCGTCACCGCCTCTACCCGCTCCAGCAGTGGGAAAGCAGTACTGAAGTAAAGCTACTACTAGTTCGTATGTAGTCTAGGTTTGTACAGGATGAGCGAGGAAAAAAAAGTTGTTGTGTACTGTTGTACAGCAGTATCCCGGTATAGTGCCGGTATGTGTCCAGGGGGTCGACCGGCACTGTACCGGCCACCGGCTCTGTTCAGAGTTGTGCCTTTTTAGTGCCACGCCGGCACTATTCAGGGTAATTGTTTTTCACAATATTAGTGCCGGCTTGGCACTAGTGAGGACTGTTCGACTTCAGGATATCCATGCAGCACTTACGTTTTGCGGGGCTGACAGGGTACCAAACGAACGGTACACGGGTCAATTGTGAGGTGGGCGACGTGGGCGGGCTTCTCACAGGTTCGTGGGGCTGCTTGCCTATCGAAAACACGGCTTTGTTCACATTCACCTTAAATTGACCAGATACATTTATTGCACCATGGTTCTCTTCCCACCTCAGCGCACACCCTGTAGGGTAGTAAAGGTCTCCGCTGCCTTTAAATAGCTAGTAGACCGTGCTGCTCGATCAAAAGGCACCTCGCTATCAAATGATGTATTGTTGTGGCAAGAAGATCGGACAACACAATCCAGGCAAACTCACAGGCACCTCTCCACAGCGAAAGAAAAACGCTCGTACACGCACCCAATGTACACTTGGAGGTACAACATGGATGTAGTGCTCCTTAAATGAGCACAACAAACGCAGATGCAACCGAAAGTGGTGAAAAGACAAAAATCGCTCCCCTCCTGTTCCTTCGATAAAAAGCTACAGAGAAGACCAAGCTTTCAGAAGCAAGAAAGAGACTGGCCAGCCAAAAGGCGTCAGTCTCAATGCGGTTGAAAACAGAAAATACATGTTTCTCAAGGCCCTGATCTGGGACCCCGTGAGAGGGTGTCATTAAGGAGGCTGAGCTATACTCCAGGTAAAAAGTAGAAACGGTAGCAATAGAGGAGAACTGCACGTGTCTGCCAAGGTTTCTACGAAAATATTTGAACACGCGTTCGTTTTCGGAGTGTTTTCATCCTTATGCGAAGGTGTACCGATTCAGGTAAAAGTCAATCGACGGATACCCTGCGAATCTGGTCCTCTTCAACACTTCTCCTTGCATTTACCACCACTGCTCTGATCGCTAATACTTCGACTATGATTCGGGCGTCATCTCTAGACTGTGCCCCCCTGCGGCGTTTGTTGTGAGGAAGGTCATCTGGCTCGAAACTCTTGTTCCCCTCAATGCCATATTCTCCTCCTCCATCATCACTGCTAACCCTCGATATTCTTTCCACATCCATCCTTCGTCACTACCACCATCTTCCTTTTCGCCCGCCTCACTACTGAAANTGGTCCTCTTCAACACTTCTCCTTGCATTTACCACCACTGCTCTGATCGCTAATACTTCGACTATGATTCGGGCGTCATCTCTAGACTGTGCCCCCCTGCGGCGTTTGTTGTGAGGAAGGTCATCTGGCTCGAAACTCTTGTTCCCCTCAATGCCATATTCTCCTCCTCCATCATCACTGCTAACCCTCGATATTCTTTCCACATCCATCCTTCGTCACTACCACCATCTTCCTTTTCGCCCGCCTCACTACTGAAATCGCAACCTTTTGGCTGAAGTTGCTGTGGTGGAGTT